ATAATAAGTTGCACAAGTTGTAGGCCTGTAGCCATTCAGTCACCAAAATTATCGATGGAAGTAGCTTGTAAACTAAACTAAATTATCACTAAAATAAGAATTACTTTACTTGGACATGATTATTTCAGTCTGACATATAAAAAATGTCTGTGATTGCGGTAAAGGTGCTGTAACTGCTTTAGGTGCTATAGTTCTTCGAAAATTTGAAAGATTAACAAAAAAGCTTTGATCTCCATCGTCAGTTCTTGAAGCGCCAACACGGTTGCTAGATGACCAGACTTACGCCGGGTAAGAGCGGGAACAAAGCCGAAAGCTAGATCATCCAAATTCACAGTGACTTTCTTCCGGTCTTCATGGTCTACAAAGGACCCGGCCCACCTCGACCGGGTAGGCTAGGTTCCTTCGGAGAACCCGGCCTGCCGTTTTGGACACAGCCAAAGATTCTACAAGGCAAATTTTGCTGGCAGCTGGTTACATTAGAACCCTGTGCACCTCCAACTGTAGTAGAGGGATGCCGTCATTTTCAGATAAAATAATAAGCATTATGGGAGATGTAGTCAATGCTGGTGTCGGACTTTTGGGCATATTAAATATATTAAATTTATGAATTATTAAAGTATTACCTTAATAAACCTCACGGAGAACCACTCCCCTTTGTTTAGTCAAAATTTGCAACTCAGGAAAGAGAAGAAAACCTGTAGCTTTATTACCATATCAGTCTCAAATTAACCTAATACCCAAAATTAATCATGAGTTCTTGTCTTGGACGAGTCAATAAAATCTTATCAAGACACAAACAGCCGTGAATTAAAGTTGACATGTTCCCCACTTATCATTTATTTACAGATTAAAATGTATGTATGGCTGATATGAAATGATGACATTGTCAAACAGAACCAACTGGATTTAATGATCAGATTTGACCAAATCAACACTGTATATTATGACAACTAATCCTGAAAAATTTTAGATGCAGCAATGGTTTGAACACAAACAAACAAACAAACAAACAAACAAACAAACAAACAAACAAACAAACAAACAAACAAACAAACAAACAAACAAACAAACAAACAAANCAAACAAACAAACAAACAAACAAACAAACAAACAAACAAACAAACAAACAAACAAACAAACAAACAAACAAACAAACAAACAAACAAACAAACAAACGAAGATTTCCTAAGCATGGGAATTTAAACTAATGTCTTAGTTAAATTCAATTAGGTTGAGAGGACGCTACAAAGTTCAGATTTTACCAGGATTCGTACGAAGGAGGAATCACCTTTAAACCTGAGCATCTTTGTCACCAGCAAATGGTTTAGTTTTCCTACCAGTAGCTTTCCTGCAGAGTTGGTACCAAGAGGAGGTTAGGTGAGAACGGGTCGACTCTGGAGGTTCCCCAGGAGAGAATCCATCATTTCAGCTAGCTGCCAGACAACTTATGACTGTGAACTCGCTGGTCCGTCAGTCAGAGACTGGGCTGTAAACTGGTGAAGGTGGGAGACCTTGTCTCCATTCCTGATGCTTCAGAGTGGTGATAGTTGATTCAGACTTCATCAAGCAAACAGATTAAAATGATGCATGGAGTTAAAATTAGCTTACTTAACTTTCTATGAAACTCAAGCTCATGTTCTGAGCTGGCGTGATAGTTGTTAGTTTCCTAACGAAATTACATTAAAGCAGTGATGAGGAGAGAGTCCAGCCGGGCTGGAGAAAAAGGAGGCCTGAATCCTGCAGAGCCATGAGGGTGGCTGTCAGGACCAAGGCAGCCTGGAGAATAAACTTGCTTGGAGCTGAGAAGAGCAGAGAGAGGCAGAGAGCTGAGCTGATCTGAACCAAACCAAAAACCTGAGATTGGAAGTGCAAGCTAACTCTTGAAGGCTCTGGTTGGGCGGAGTAAGTCGTTCGTTTGTCCAATTAAAATGTTATGTCATACCAGGGGTGTCAACTTAAAGAGTTTTAACAAATCAGCTTTTTGGAGGGAAAAGTTTCTACACCGAGACAGAAAATGGGAGTGTTTAGTCTACATTATTTTTGCATCTAATCAAAGAGGAGTTTAGGTTGCATCTAAGTTTGCTTCAGAGCAATAAAACAAAGAATTTAATACTTTAAAAGTAACTTTACATTACATTAGTTAGCTGTTTATCTTCGTTTTAATCAGAAAATAATAAACCATTATCCTAAAAGAAAATTGTTACACATATAATTATTAAAATCAAGTCCTAAGGTTTCTACATTGGCTTAATTGGAGAAAATAAGCATTGCTCACATAGTGAAAACACAATGGTTACTTCAAGAAATTAAAGAAACATTTTCGTCAGGAGGAGTCCATCTGTAAACTAATAACACAGAATAAACTTTGAAACTTAGTGTGCGAATAATCAACTAAAATAGAGAAACTTAATGAACTTCAGACATCTTGGATCTGGAAGAAAACAGGTTAAATCACATTTCTTTGCAGAATAACAGATATGAAAATAGACAATTTGATGCACAAGTTATTTTTCTTTTTTTCATATTTAATGAAAAAATGTTCAATCCTTTATTTTCATTCTAACTGAATGTCCTCTGTGTTGTTGGAGAGAGGATTTACGACAACTGTGAGGAAGAAACAACAGCCTCTTGAGAGAAACCAGATTTGGGGGTAGGAAAACAACAGTCTTAGAACAGGACATCTCTTGAGGGAGTGCTCAGAACGTGAATTGATCAGAACGTGACAGTTCTGACAGTTTCATGTTTCGAACAGAGTCATGGAGTTTTATCAGTACCATACTCTGGCTGATGTTTGGACAGGAGAAAGGGGGTTGCCAAAGGAATGTTATCAGTCGTAAATGAAAGTCCTGGCCTGGAGCTTTGGAAGCGGTCTATGCAGAAAAGTTCAACAAAGAGTGGGGGTTGTTTTTCTCCTCTCTGAGTCGTTGCCATTAAAATATAATCAGAGATCATAATTTCACATGCAGGGAGGCCCTACACTGGTTTTAAAGAAGCATACACTTATTTTTAGACATTAAAACATCTCTGAAGCTCTCACGGGCCACATTAAATGCAGTGACGGGCAACATTTGGTCCTCTGGCCTTGAGTTTTAGACTGTCTTAGATACTTTAAGCTATTGTTACAGTCAGCATCTCCTCTTTCCTTCTGCATTTTTCAAAAGGTCTGTTCTGACATGAAGGAAATAGCCGTATATGGGTGTACCTTCAGACACACAATCATAATTAAGCATAAATCAATCGTTCACCTGTTTTTGCATATCAAACTTAAGTAATGATCATGAACATGACTGATTCATTCATTTAAAGCAGGGGTGCCCAAACATTTTTCCTGAGAGGGCCAAAATGAAAATCTATTCACGGCTGTGGGCCAAATGCAGTAATGTAATACATGAAATACAAATACTTTTTAAGTAAAGTCCTTTATTTTTAACAATTAAGCTAGCAGCCAGTGCAATGACCCTCTTTCGTTTTAGTCTGAGCACTTTAAGAAAGGCTGCCTTACACTCAAGTAGCAAAGGCTCATGGGACATTACATAAATTGATAAAATATGAGTTTTTGCGGCCTTATAAAGTGTGCAGATCTACATGTGGGGTTAAATCTGATCTAAATATATCTTGTTGTTACTTTATGTTTCCTGTTTAATCCTAATATATCAAAGATAAAGTCAGCACCATGAACCAAAACTACCTTCAGCCCTTTACAGTATAAAGTCATTTGACCAATGGAAAACCTGTGTTTCTACATAGGATGACAGGCTAAAACCTTGTAACTTTGGCAACTGTTGGTGGGCCAAATCAAATGGCTTGGCGGGCCAAATTTGGCCCACGGGCCCCACTTTGGGCTCCTCTGTTTTAAAGTTGAACATATAAAGTTCCTACAGGGTCTGTTTGGTTGTGTGGTTCTGGATGGTGCTGTCAGGCTGTGATTCTGTGCTTAGAGAATGATTTCCACATGAAGAAGCTGTGCTTTGTGAGCAGGCAAGCAAGGCGATAAAAGCTGAGCTCAGTAACCAGAGTTGTCCCACAGATTTGCAGACGAGGGGTTCCGGGAACTGGAGTTCACTACAGAGAATAAGGTAAGTTGGTATTTCTTAAATGTCTTAGAAACATGAGAGCAGCAGGTTCATCACCATTAGTGACCCACAAGCCACTGGAGATTTGTGAGAAGACTCAGCCTCATAAAAGGGAGACTAGATGAAAGAGTAGCTGACTTGGATCAGCTGGTTTTCAGCACTGCTCAGCACACCTGTAAGGACACCTGAGAACTGCTGGAGCCAGAAAACACAGACCTAACACGTTCACTTGAACCACTGTAATTGTACATCAGTGATATTAAAGCCACTTAGATACTGAGACAGATTTATACAGCACAATTGCTTAATTATACAGTTGTCTGAGCTTTGAAAACATATTAGTTGTGATACCAAAATGGGCTAAAAATACAGCTCAGTGTTTGACAGGTTAGATTTTCTTGTGAGTTTTGTGAGAATGCTGACGCCATGCAAATCTATAATAGCATTTTCAACAAAAATGTAGAGTGACTGTTGAAATTTGCTAATGAAGCTTAAACTAACATATTAAAGTTAATTTTAGTATACTGTAATATTAAAATCAGTTCATTAAAAATAATTTGTGCCTTTTTTTCATGTGTTGTTTTTACATTTTTCTCTTCTGCAATCAATTTGCACATGGGTCCTGCTCCTTCCTGTCTACTGACCAATAGAGGAGCTGACCCAAGAAGGACCGCCCACCTTATTTGCATAATGAAGCAGAAATGCATAAGATAAAGTAAGAAACAGGAGATAGAAAAATGTAAAAAAAAAACAACAACATGGAAATAAAAGGACTTGTGGAAAAAACAATAAAAATCTAAGAGACACAAACACATTTACAAGTAAAAGAAAAAACAACACAAACACACACACACACACACACACACACACACACACACACACACACACACACACACACACACACACACACACACACACACACACACATGCATATATGTATATATTAAAAATTCAAATTATGTGGTAAAATATGTAGTTTGTTGGAACAAAGCTTGAAAAATAAATAGGAAGGTCAATTAAATTATGAAACATGGGATAAAATTCTCCTTTTTAATTTAATTGATGCATTTAGAGTGTATTTATTTATTCATTGGTCCATTTATATATTTCTGCTTTTATTTCTAATTATGTCAGCTTTGGTCCTCCATAAAACAGAGCCAGTATGATGAAGCAGGTTTCATAGAAGGCAATGATTTGAAGCATTTGATTCGATTTCATCACATTTCTATGGGGAGAAACACTTTGTGAAAAAGGTTAATGTATTGAAAAGTACACATTACAATAAACAAAAGTTAAAGCACCATTTCCTGAATGAGCAAAAAAAATGTTGATATTATGACTTAAATAGCACAAAGTATGCAGAAATAGAAGTGCAGGAAAATAAAAAGTGGAATACAACAGTGTGAATGATGACTCAGCAAATGGTGTCATGTGAAAACAGCCGTATTAATGAAGTCACAGAATACACTGGAGTAAAGCTACAGCTGGCTGATCAGTTTGCACCTAAACACTCTGTCGGGCGTGTAAACACTGATTTGTTTCACCCCTCAGTGAGGTTAATGTCATTCAACTTTAATGACCGCTGGCCCCTTTTTTTCCTCAACATTTGCTCTGGTGTTTTCTTTCTGGGTTTCTCAGTAAATCATGTGAGACATCAGCACATTGTGTCACAGCAGCTTCTTTGTGATTTGTGTGACAATACTATTGATAGGAAAATATTGTTAATAGTAAAAGTTTCAAATATTTTCCCAGTTTGAATGAAAATGGCCTGCCTGCCACAGAGAGGCAGATGGCAAATGTTTGTGTGAGCCTTGATGTATTATAATGTGCTATTGTCATAAACACATGCTCCCATGCAGATGAAATTGTTGTTATGTATTTGACCCATCAAATGTAAGAAGAGCAGCAGGCAGCTATACTACCAACACCAGTCAGAGAATGGGTGTCGTGCTCAAGGACACCAAGACCAGAGGTGTTAAGTAACAAAGTACAATTACTTAGCTTAAGTAGAAATTTTGGTTATCAATTTTTTACTAAGAAAATTATTTTTGAAACAACTTATTACTGATACTCCTTACATTTTAACTCAGTTCTCTGCACTTTCCCCATGTAGCAGAATTAGTCTGGCCCATACAATTTACTAAACGCTCTAACACTCAGCCCACTACTACCTGGGCCAATGCTTGGCCCTGAGTAGTCAAAGGGAATTCTTGGAGAACCTTTTATGGATCCCAAGAAGCTTAGAACACTGAGTGTTTCTAACCTGGTGTCCTTCTTTCGAGGGGCGTGAAGGTTTGATTAAAAACTCAGTGTTTCTTTTGGGGAGAGTAATGGGCCCACTTATGAGGCCTCCGCTCACATAGGTTTCGCCCATCCCCTTGTACCATAACCATAACACTTGGCCCAGATACGCCAAAGAATGATGACCCTTTGGTGGTCCAGATGTGGTCCATGAACCAGCATCATGTAAAGCAAACCACAATCAGGCCAGTGGTGGCATGCTATCTTAAAAACAACGCCATCATTGCCAGACCTGGCCCACATTCAGTTGACAAACCACTTGCTCTGCCAGCATCCAGCCAGCTTGACACCAGATATGGTCCACACCTGTCTTCTATGTGGGTATTTCAGTTCTATTTCATTCAGGTTTGTTTTCATTCTGGCTTGTTGTCAAAACAATAAAATAAAATAAAATAAAATAAAATAAAAAAACAAAACTAGATACCGCATAGAGGTAAAATAATGACCCCCGCACGCACAAATGCACCAGAACTCAGAAGTCTTAATTCCTAATAAATGTCATGCTACTAGATGCATCCCAAAATTGTAGTGGTTTGGGAGGTGGTCTTTTTTGGGGTGGGGGGGGCATTGGTTGACCTGATGGATAGCCCCTCATCAGAGCTAAACAACCAATAAAAACCTGAAGCTCCTATGTTGAACAGTTTCTGAGTTATAAGCATTTTTGCATGTCAGACACCCCCTCTTTGGATGGAGCCCCCTCCTCAAATATGGGGTCTATCGTAAAACCGTTGGCTGGTGCAGTGTAGGTCAGACTCATTCTTCAGTCCTGCCAAATTTCTTGTTGATTGGTGCAGCCATTTTTGTGCTACGGTTGACCCAAAATCACTGAAAATAAATAAATAAATAAAAATAATAAATCATACGAAAACAATATGACTCCTGAGGTCATAATAAAAAAATAAAATAAAATAAAATAAAATAAAATAAAATGGCACCACCTGGATAGAGAAATACATTTAACAAGTATATAATTTGTATGCGATCAGTCACAGCTGCATAAGACAAAGCATTTCACTGCAAGTAGTACTGCATATTACTCTGTTTGTGACAAAGAAAATTAGATTTGATAAGACACAAAGCATGTTACACTCCAGCAGGACATAGTATGAGGATGACTGTGGCTTTATAAGTATATGCAGTGGAAAATGGGTAGTCCATCACAGTTTTTTTACTTATTTTATTATTTATTTTAAAATATTTTATATTCATTATTGCCTTTAGAAAAACATTTTGGAGGAGGTGAGGTTGTGGACTGTGACTCACTCGTGTAACATAGCCTAAGTTTTTATTCTTAATAGCTTCTTTCCTTCCTGATGTTACTTTTATGCTTAAAGTAGTTTTAAAAACAGTACTTTTACACTTTTACTTGGGTAAAAAGCTTGTGTTAAACCCTTCTGCCTGAGTATATGCCTGTGAATACTTTAAACATCTTTGCTCATAACATGTGGGCATTGTGAGGAATTGAACCTGTGACCTGGTTCCAAGTCAGCTGCTCCAACTTGTGTGCAGTAACCATCAGATGCACATTTGCACCTTTGAGGACTGGATCTTTTTTAGTCAACTCAATAAACATAACTCAGTTACTTTTACAATAATTGAGGTAAAATATGAGTTGGCTGCTCAGAGTCATTCATGTCTGAGGGTGACATTTACAGATATTGCATTAAATTGTGTTTAACTTTATTTTGAAGGTTTGACCAAAATGGCTACGAGTCAACATATGATAATCTTACATAAAATGTGATGGCTTAAAAGCACTTCTTTAAGGAATATTGGACCTTTAATTGAATAAGTGAATGCACATTCGCTCTTGTTTGTAGTATCAGTTACTATTTTGATTGACAGGTCCATCGTCTAACAGATTCAGTTTCTTTCTCGTTTTCATGTCGTCTGAAGGAGGAGGAGCCCAGTGTCTGAACAGATCCCGCAGAAACACACATGTTCCTGTGTGGGTGTGTGTAAATGGACTGTTTGACACTCTGTCCTCCACATGAATCAGCTGTACACTGAGTGACTCACAGATGGGGATGATGTAAGTCAGCAGAAAAGAAATAACTGCAGGAAAGAAGAAACTTAAAGGGGTTCCAGAAAATGCCTCCAAAGAAGAAAGACAACCCTGTCGCTGAAGTTGTAAAAGGTATTTTGCTGTGCAGGTAAAGTTCTTTGTATAAAGTGACAGCTTCGTTAATGGACTGAGTAATCATTTGTTTCCAGTTGGGATAGACGTGGATACAGAGTTTGACAGTGGCAGTGAAGGTGAGTTCTCCAGATAATCTGTGATAAACTACTACATTTCACCTAAATTTCACTTTTATTTAAACTTTTGGACTTTTTAGCACTGTGGCAGTTTCTATTAATAAAACTCCATTTAGAAATGTTGTGAAGTTATGTGAAATGTAAAGGAAATGTAATGATTTAAAAATCTCATAAACTTATATTTTGTTCTCAGTGGAACATAAAAGACGAAGTAAATGTTTATGCTAAAAATTATTTCACCAGACTGGTGAAGCACTGCCCATCTTTACTTTTGAGAAATTTAAGGATCTGAGGATTTTAATTGTCAATCCAACTTACATTTGCATGAAAATATGAAATTAGATTAGATTAGAGAGACCTTTATTATCATCGTACAGAGAGCACAATGAAATTACAGTTTTTTTAAACTCAGGTCCCCATTTAAGAAGCCTAATGAATAAATAAAAGGGTATTTGACTATATAAAAAGTAGCTATAAAAAAGAAAATAGAAAAAAAAATGGCTTCTTAAAATGCTCTTTTTCTTTTTTTTACTCATTCCTCTCACTGATGTGTTGCCAATTGATTTGATTAGTAGCAAAATTCAGTTGTTTCTGATTTTTATTGTTGTTCTACATTTTTTGTTGCCCCTGTTTGCAAAATGTGTTGCTGCCCATCAATTCAAACTTGTTCCAAATTCATGAAATTTGTAAATCATTGCTTCCTGTTCTTATATCCATTTCACACATACCCCAAAAATGTTTAAATTGGTTTGTATTTTCTCATCATTTTTTACTCAAGTTTACATTTGCGCTCACAGATGAGTAACACAAACTGTGATGTTACAACTTTTTGGCTAATAAATTGTGGATTTGTCTCAGACGAGGCCAGGAGGAGAAGCAGAAAAAGAAACGCTAAAGTGCAACGCAAAGCCAAACAGGTCGGTGATGATGATGATGAGGAGGAGGAAGACAAAACACCCCCAAAACGCCGAGGACAAAGGAGGAGGACCAAGCCCCAGGACAGCGATGAAGATGATGAAGGAGACAAAAAAAGAGTGACGAGCAAAACATCAAGAGCTGCCAGGAGGAAAGGTGGGAAGTCTTCCCGAAAGGAGGAAAGTGAGGAGGAGGAAGATGAAGAAGATGAAAGAGAGAGCAAGAAAAAAAGAGGAAAAGCTTCATCTAAAAAGGAGAAAGAGGAGCAGAATAATGAGAAGAAGGGAAAAGCTGGCAGAAAAGATGAAGATAAGAAGGACAAGAAGAAGAATTCAAAGAGCAGGTGAAGCTTTTTTCTTTGTAACAACACAGATAATAGATTTACATTATTTATTATAGCAGTCTATACAAGGTTGAGTCAGGTACCGTGGACGGGTTCTTCTTTGTTGAAACGTTTCATCTTTTATACAAGACTTTTTCCTACTGAATGTTTCATCCAAAAGACCGTCTTTTAGATGAAGATAAAGAGATGAAGCGTTTCAACAAAGATCTCTTCCAGAGGACCTGACTCCAACATGTTAACAATTTTCACCTGAATTTTTGAGATACAGTACATTTGTTGTAGCACATTTTTTAAAATCAATAACAGTAATGTAAAAAAATGTTTTTTTAAGAAAAATATATGAAAAAAGAAATGAAAACAACCACAAGCGACTTTATTTGAATATAGCCTGTTTTGTTTTAAACTTTCTGAACACCTGAACATTTTTAGGTGTTTGAATTTTCTGTGTGACTATTTAAGAGGTGATGCCGAGGCCTTAAGTTTTATGATATGTTACTGTTATTTGAGCCCTAAAATTATAACAATCAACATCTATTTATCTTGTCAGTTCTTCTTCTGATGATGATGATGATGACGATGAAGAGTCGATGTCAGAGGGTGAGCTTGAAGCTCTGAAGGAGCAGGTGGAGGAGAAGAAGAAACTAATTGCCACCATAAGAAACAAACCCTGGCGCATGAAGAAGAGACTCCTGGTGCTCAAGTAAAGAGAAAAAAAATCAAACTTCCTCTGCTGTTGATGTCGTACTTTATTTTGCACTTTTCTTTTTTGATGCTTTGATTCAGTATTTTTCTCAGCACATAATGTCACATACTGTATGTGCTCAAGGAATTAATAATACAAACTACTTCAGATAAACACAAAGTAAAAAAGGCATGCAAGTCGCATGCATCCTATTTCCTCAGTAAGTTAAAAGTAAATAATTTAGAAGTAAGTACACTTTATTTATATATCACTTTTCACAGACACAAATATCACAAAGTGCTTTACAGAGAGCAAAATAGTTCAAAACAAAGAGAAAAGGGAAGCAATTGTAAAAATTGAAGTTCTATTAGATTAAATTTACTTCAGTATTCAAACCTACACTCTAAAAATGAAATGTTGGATTTACTTAACCATGTTATGTTACCTGGTTCCACTTAACTGAGTTGAGTAAAATCAAAGCAACATACTCATGTTCTTTGGCTAAAATACTGGTATATTGCTTTGAATTTACTCAACTCAGTTAAGTGGAACCAGGTAACATAACATGGTTAAGTAAATCCAACATTTCATTTTTTACAGTGTATATTTAATCATAGAAAAACCAGTCTTGCTATTAAAAGTGACACATGAAGATGACTTCTGTGATGGACTTATAAAACTGTCCGAGGTGTATAGAAGACTTATGACAACAACTTTCATTAAATAAAATTGACAAAATGAAATGACTGCAGACTGATTCTGATCTTTGTGAATTTGACTGGTGGATGTGTAGAATAGTTTGTTTTTAACATATAGATGAACTTTAACTTTTTTTGTTATTCTTCACTCTGATGAAGCGGCTAACATAAAACAGTCCTCATTAATCCAAATCAGAAGCTGTTTGATCCAACTTCTGCTGATTTTATACACCTGTTACATGTTTTTGCTGTTTTTACTAATTGTTGCACTGTAAAAAATGAAATGTTGGATTTACTTAACCATGTTATGTGACCTGGTTCCACTTAACTGAGTTGAGTAAATTCAAAGCAGTATACCAGTTTTTTAACCAAAGAACATGAGTATATTGCTTTGAGTTTACTCAACTCAGTTAAGTGGAACCAGGTCACATAACATGGTTAAGTAAATCCAACATTTCATTTTTAGAGTGTGGACTCGTCGCCGACGGTATTTTGTTTTCTGTCAAACAGGGAGGCCCAGGAGTTTATTGAAAGGTTTGAAGGAGCTCTTGGAAAAGGAAAAGGCCGGAGGCTCTATGCATTCAAAGTCATGATGACTAAGGTAATGTTCTCACTGTTGCAATGAGATCTTGTGTTGTGTATTTAGTCTGATTTTAACTAAGC